TGAAGTTAGAAAAGATAATTTGTAGAGAAAGTCTACCCAGCCTAACTGCTTGGAGTAGAGGTGACATCACTTTCACTAACATTCCATTGGCGAGATTTTGTCAAATTGTCCTTTGAGCTACAGGGGACTGAGAAATATAGCCTCCTTGAGGAGGGACTAGCAAGGTGAAGTGATAGAATTGACTGTCATGTATAATATTTGTGAAGTATTCACAAGTCTGATCATTTTTCATTCTTAAAATACTCAGAAGGAATCAGGGCAGTAATACCTGTGTTTCTCCTGTTGGGGAAACTGAGGCTAAAAGAACCTCAGTAATATTCCAAAGGACATGTAGCTAGTATTCAGGTAACATTCAGATGTCTTTCTCTGCATACATCTCAAACCTGAAAAAAAGATAGATGAATGTACATAATTGTGGTAGAAAATAGTCATTTTGACTATAATAAACTCTTTTCTTAAGGTATCTGATGTGTCCATGTTATTTATAACATAATTATAATCAAAATAAATTTTATTAATTTTTATTACAGTAAGATTAGCTTACTCTATAAACCAATAATTCTAATTTTACCACAATACTAATTTTACTATATTGAACTAATTGCCTACGTTTTTACCTTCCTGGTAACCTAGCCTTTTTGAGGCCTTGGTCTGTGTCTAATTCATCTCATTACCCTGGCATCTAACACAGTGCTCTGCAACCAGTAGGTAATCTCCAGTGTAAAAATGGACACCCTGAGTGGAACTTGAATCATGTTCCATAGAACAATAATTGACCTAGTTCTCAGCATTGGAGTTAGGGAGGTTTGGCAGTTGCCTGATTTCATAGACATTCACCATAACATGTATATGCATGACCTACGATGGTGATAGAATGGGACATTTCTCTTTATAAAACTAATGAGCCCATAAGAGGATGGAAATCAAATTTTCATCCCTTAAATATTATATTCTAGGGGACTCAGTTACCAGTCCAGCCTTTAATAGGTAAAGCAAGCTAGTCTATTATTATTCAACATAAAACATAAACCTCTTTCCCTCCTAGAGTTACAGTGAGCATACTATAAGCTCTTCTTAGGAATTTAACAGACTTTATAGAGAAAATATTCACTGCTCAGAACAGAGACAAGTATGCTTTGTTGATGACAATTGCAAAAGATGGAGAAAATTCCTACAGTGTTAACACTATAGAAAGTTTAGTCCTAGCTCTAATGCTACCTCACTCTGATACCTTGGTCAATTATCTTCACATCTCTGAGCCCCACAGTGAAGAGGTTGAATGACTTTTTGTTTCTCTACAGGGAGGCATTTGGCATCTATGATGGGAAAATTTTCATGAAATGAGAGAATAGGGCACTTTGTAGATGTTTGACATCCTTGGCCCCCAGGTACTAAATGCCAGTAGCATTCTCAGTCATGATGAAGAAGCCAGAAGATGCCCTCCCCATTCCAAATGGGCTGTTCCCAAGTTGAGAGCTATTAAACATGATTATCAAGTATTTTATAATTTCATGATAGCTCTACATCTATTAGAAATAATTTATTTGATTTTAGAAAAGATTGATAATGATGACACAACAATAATACTTGTAATCAGTGTCTGCCAAGTACTTACTATGGCTACTGTGCTAAGAGATTTGTGTGAATTATCATATCCTATCTAATAGCAACCATGCAAAGTAGGTCTTATTAATATTTCTGTTTTACAGCTGAAGACAGTAACTCTTAAAGAGTCACTGCACAAGGTGACACAGCTAGTAAATGCTGGGGTGAGGATGAGAAGTGATACAGGGGAAATGAAATGGGAAAGGGGAGCCAACATTGGATACCAATTCCAAGTGCCGTGTTCTGTAAGTTTACATCCTCTGACTCACTGGGTCTCTGACAAAAACCTGAGATATGCATATGTCATTATGTTATAGATGAAAAAGGCAATGAACTTTAACATTTGACTCCATTTCTTTGTTTTTCTATTATTTTTTTCCTGAACTCTTGCCCTGCAGTAATCAAAGTCTTCTATAAGGTTATCTTTTAAACTCCAAGAAATGGGTCCATTTCTTCCTGAAGAAATGGAAGTATAATATTTCCCTTCTTGCTTCTTCATTGGACAGAAAATGATGAAAAAGATTACGGTGATTCCTTAGCCAGCCAGCATATTGACCTAGGGGTTTCATTAATTCATTCAGCAGACATCGTACTGTCGACATCTCCCTCTGCTTGCATTTCCAGACTTTGTTCCTGTTTCTCTGCCACTCCCCACACCTGTTCAAACAGCTTCTCAAGCATTTAGGAAATGAAAATGGGGTGAGCAAGTTATTCATGTTCTTTTTAAAGTTTCAAACTGACTGCTGTAGACAGACTGCTTTCTTTGGTGTCAACAGGATGAAAATCTTCCTGATGCTTTATTTGCACCCTCTTAATGCTCATCATGAAAAACTGATGCCATCCAGCTTATGGATTCCTGTGTGAATGACACAAGATAACTGATCAGGGTGGGTGACTCACAACTAAATCACCACCAGACACCAAATGGCCCTACTGTGTGCTCTCTCCTGGGCAGAAGGAGGCATGTGATAGGCCTGTTTTGCTAGTTACACTTTGGGGCACATTCTGTTTCCAGGCTTGGAGAGTATCCCTGAAATTCACTCCTACTTGGAGTCTGTCAGAAACCTGCTACTACAACAGCACTTTTGCATTGTGGAAGCTGGATTTGCGTTCCTGTGGCATCATTCAGACACAGAGATTGGATGTGTCTCCTATCGGTTTCATGAGAGCCTTTGCCATAGCCTTCCAAGGAAGGGACATGCGGCCTCACTTTGACAATAGGAAATCTGAGGCAGAATGATGCTACCAAAGGCCACTCTCCATTTAGGGTGATGAGAGCAACTCTGGGAACTAATATAATGAAGAATTGGAAGCTGAGGCTAGGAAAAAAAACAAAACCTTAAAGTTCATTATTTGGAAGAAAGTACTGCATCCCAGAGAAGGTAGGTCATTTGCCATGGGTTATACAATTTGTAGCTGCAACTGAGCAAAGTCTAGAAATTGCAAATTTCTAATCTACCACACTTACAAATAGTCAATCTTTGCTGTGTGTAGTGTTAAAGAAAAAAATATCATGACACTTGTTAAAATGGTAAGAAAGATTTTTCTTCGGGACTTTTACAATACAGATATTGACTCGATTCCAATACAATCAAGACAAGAGGATTTATAGGCAAAGGGCAGTGGATGGAAAATCATAGAGAAGGCCTAAAGGGTAGAGCTGTTCTTGCTGATGCTGGCCTAACAGGCTTCTTGCTGAAGGTAGGCTAAGAATTTACACATGCATATAGGCCATGAAGAACACAATTGGATATCACGGATGGGGAGATCTTCCCTGAAGCAATTTCGCGGAACTCTTTTTGCTTTGCTTTTTTTTTTCTTTTTTCTTTTTTTTTAGTCCTGGGGATTGGACCCAGAGGTGCTTTACTACTGATACATATCCCTGTTTTCTATTTTATGTTTTATTTTAAGATGAGTTTTCGCTAAGTTGCCTAGGACTTTTGCTGAGGCCAGCCTTGAACTTGCAGTTCTTCTGCCTCAGCCTCCTGTGTTTCTGGGATTATAGGTCTGTGCACTGTGCTCAGCAACTTAGCAGGATTCTTGATGCAACTGAGCTAAGCAGGCAGAAGGCAGGACAAGTAAGGTAAGATCACAGGAGCCTGATTACAGTTTGTTCAAAGAGAGTTTTTGACAACAAGAAGCATCTGGAATGAGGGTTAGAGTACAGAATCTATAGGTCTAGGACTGGGCTTAGAGTTTGCATCTTTCATGAGTTCCAAGTGATCCTGAGGCTGATGGTCTTAGAATACATCGAGTAGCAAGGCATTAGAGCACATTGCCAATAGAGCCCCCTGTCCCAGCATATTTTGCTCTTTATTAATAGGAATATCATTTCTCCCACCTATGCTCTTAGTAGGGAGGCAGCAAGCTGCTCGCTACTTTCTCCTACCCTTGTGCTTTCTTCCTCTTTCCCTCACTTGCTTCTTTCTTTCTTTTCACTTGTTATATTCAGCAGAACATGAAAACCTTAGGTTAGTAAATACATTCTAAGTTGACTAGAAGATGATTGCTCATAGAGAATGCCCAGGATTAAAATGAGCACTTCTGTCAGATGATAGTGTTTAGGATGTGATTTCTAGATAATCTACACTCTTGATGCCCTGTCAACATGTGAAAGGATGTTTAAGTGGCTGATGGCACATATCAGCAGGGTCCTGGAAGCCAAGCTGTCAAGGTTCTTCTTCACTGCTATTCTCAACACCACTGTTTGAAGTTCTTTTTTTTTTTAAATGTAGTTGGACACAATACCTTTATTTTATCTGTGTGGTGCTGAGGATTGAACCCAGGACCTTGCACTTGCTAGACAAGCTCTCTACCGCTGAGCGACAACCCCAGCCCTTGTTTGAAGTTCTTGATGTAAGAATATGTGGAGGATACAGTCAATCCATATTTACAAGCATATTTGAAACTATGACCCAAGTGTGGAAAAAATAAGATCAAAGAATAATGGAATTCATTCTCGGTACATTTTTAAGAGCTATGTTGGTGGAAAAGAGCTATAATTTTATACTAACAATTATTATTATAGAGAATTCCTCTTATTTTTGTTTTAAACAGAAGTATAAATATATGCAAAGGAATCTTCTATGATTTTGAATTCTAATACCATTAAATGTTATTATAATAATCTTTAGTCCGTAGACATATCTGAAGGAGACAAGAATTTAATTGAACATTTGTCATTTGTGGGCTCTATCTGCCATTATATGATAGTGGGTATTGTTTTTTCTTTAATGTATATTCTTGCAATAGAACTGTTTTCTCTCTCCTTTCAACTATTCATATCTTTGAAGTATACTGTGAGCAACTTTGAATTAATTTTAGCATTAAAAATTTTCAATAGCTCGTCATTCAGCACATATTTATTCTGGAGCAAGAGGAACAGAGGAAAGCAGGCATTGACAGGAGCATCCATTGACTCTGGTCTGGATTTGCAAGCCTGCATAGATCTCATTGAAAATGTAATATCTGTTTGTCTCCTTGTCCATTTTCATTTAAAGAGAATTGTCCCTGCTTGACATGTTGATCCATGTCAGGAATCAAGCTCTGTCAGAGGATGGGAAATGGGGCAGAAAAGTCCTGCATATTTTCTCCTAATGGGTCGTTGTGTGCAGAGTCTTTAACATCCTAGCTAAATTCTCATGTCATTTGCCCTATTCCATCATCTCTAATGCAGATGTAGCTACATTTGTCAACTTGTGCATAGCCTCTTTACGCAAAGAGGCTTGTTGCGATTAAAAATGGTCATTCTGTTGACTGGAAAAACAGAGCTAAAAACATGGGTACTGTAGAGCATGGCTGATTAACATAAGGTGAATGAGTAGATCCAAAGAGCTTAAGGAAATCTGGCAAATTAGCATGCAAACAAACAACTACCATAAATCCTCAGGCCACTACCTTGCAGGCTGTAGTTTGTTCATTTAATTGGACAAGTACCAGTTAGTTTCAGTAATTTATGACAATATTTCATGCCTTATTAGTAAATTAGCTTCAGTGTATGGTTTGTGAATTTGTTGATGTCCCTGTACTCTGGAATCTTTCTGCATGCTCTGGGAGAGTTGGCATGGTCTTTTCTGTGGCTTTGTCTGCATGAACAAGATGGTAACCTGTTAGAAGCTTGTGGGTTGCAGTGAATTTTGGAGACAGGTCTGGGCAAACCAAAACTTTTAACTTTCTGAAAGTTCTGTAGCTACACTGTCACCTTTGATTCTCAACAACCATGTCAGGAAGGCACTTGGGAGACTGACCTCTCTCTGTCCTTTGCAGGTCCTGGATCCTATCATTTTGAGTGTTCTATCACTTTTATTTATTAGCCTTTACATGAAACTAAATCTTCCTTGAAAATTGCTGTAATTCCTAACAGGAGTAGACATCATGTTGATTTTATTCATTTTATAACCAGTGACTTCTTGTGGGGAGAACAGTTTGCTTAAAATGCTTAAAAAATGATTAATAAATCAAACATGAGCTGATTTGAAAAAATAATAATGATCCAACCTTGATCTGATAAATTCTTTGTGGCATTCTAAAAGCTACATTTTTTCTGATCAAATATGAAACAAGGGTCTGGGGTTGTGGCTCAGAGGTAGAGCACTTGCCTAGCATGTGTGAGGCACTGGGTTTGATTCTCAGCACCACATTTAAATAAAATAAATAAAATAAAGGTCCATCAACAACTAAAAGATAAATGAATAAGTAATGAAACAAACTGAAGCTCCTAAGAGAGACTGATTTAGTTTCTGATAGTTGTCACCTGTAAATTCTGCTTTTTCGATAAGATTGTTTTCAGGCAGGAAAGTGAAATATAGATATTGTTTAGAAAGTGAAATATAGATATTGTTTAGATGCTGATACCTCTCTAAATGTTACTGATTTTAGTAGAATGAAGCATATTGCCTTATTTTTGCCAGCCTCGGTTACTCCAGCAACAAGGATGTAATTTCCTGTTGTATTTTATACTGATATGATAAAATGAGAAGAAGGAAAAAAAAAACAGATAAAAGAAAGCAAAGAAAAGTCTTTGGTTTCCTATGAATGATTTCAGCAAAATTCAGGTCAGGCAAATAAGGCATACAAAAACCTTTCTCTAAGACATTTTATATTTTGAAAAGACCATTATGTTGGTTCAGGATATCTGAAGAAAATTTGTAGCAAATATTAATAATTAAAACCACTCCTTAAAATAGCATGAATCATGGAAGTTTTTAACTTTCAAAAGAACTAAAATACATGAATATCTGCATAATGTTTTATAATCTGCATCTCTGCATATTTGGAAAAAGGATTTTCATACATAAAAATTTCCTATTAAGTTTACAAAAAAGTTTATCTCAAATAAAAATATAATGTTAACTTAATTTTCAGGCTTACCATAAACTCCTTCCATAATATATATGCTGTGAATAAATCTATTATAGTATTAGTTCACACTTTCTTCATTACTTGAAATATTCTACTTCATTTAGAACTCGAACAATAATAATTTGCTTCTGAACAGATTAATACACAATTACAGATTTATGATTATACACGAGATATTAGCAGAGATTATTATTATTTCCTAAAAATACAAGTTTAAATGTATATTTTGTTGTTGTAACTCCTTCAGTGTATTAACCCGGAGAGGCTATATTTTCAGTAATTTAGTGGACATTCTTTTTGTGGACATTGTCACAGGTGGGATTAAGTTAATTTTAGAATTTTATCAATCTCAAGAGAAGATTCGCTCTATACTTATATCTTCCTGAACTTTGTGTCTAAACAATATTATTCTGTTGATACATTCTTTGCCTATCTGCCTGAACTTGGTCTGAATATCAGACTGTGGGAATTTTTTTGTGTGTCCATAGTCAATAATATCAAATATTCTAAATAAATTCTAAAATACTTAAACCCTGGTAGCACTAAGGCACTGAATAAATGTTGTTGCCTCTGAAGGGAAGTTTTTTGAATGTGATAATTTGGGTTTTTTAAATATAAAGTTAACCACATTACTATCTAATTATATCTTGTAAACACATGAATATTTTCTTTAAATACAACTTCATGCTTTTTGTCATTGTTGTTGGCAACTCTCACTTTTGTCTGACTGATCACCAAAGCAAATTAGACCAGGTTCCAGAACTCAAACCTGTGTGTCTCAGTATTCACCTGTCCATCAATCTCTCTGCAGAAATTTGCTGATGGCCTACACTTTACTCACCTAAAGACCTACTGTGCTAAGGGTTTGGAGGAATGCAAAACCCAGAAGGCATCACCCTGGCAGTCAAGGAACTGCTGGTATACTTCAAAGGATGTCTTAAAACCAAGACTTTTATTGTTCGTTTTCATTGAACAAGTGAATCTGCTTAGCAACCAATGGTTGCCTGCTTCTTCTCATCCATTGGTAAGGGAGGGATCCTTGGTCTAGAGTTATGGAGATGGCCAAATATGACATCCAGCCCTGGATGGATGAGATCAGCATCTCATCAGTCACAAATGCTCATATCTCCAGGAACATAGATACCCCACAACATACAGTCCCTCAGAATAGAATGAATTGCAGGGAGAGCGAGAGGCAGGCTTTACAGTAAAAGTAAGGTGGGGTGGCCCTAAGTTCCAGCAGAAGGATGTGATTGGCTTGTTTGCGTAATTCCACAGTCTGAGAGTAAATCAAGACCAATTACTCAGGGATAATAAGCAGACACTATATCTGTTTGCTGTCATAAGAGGGCTGTTTGCTGGGAGGTCTAACCTAGGAGGGGAATTTGTGATTAGTTCATTTGAGCTGCTCCTGGTTTTCCCCAGATTTCAAAGCACACATAATTGGGCCTTAATGATAGCACACTGTATAAGTCTTTGAATTAAATGCTATAGAAAAATAGCATTTGGTTTAAGTAGCCCTTGCCTTTAGGAAATATGCAGTCAAGTAAGGGATTTATAAGTCTAATAAATGTAAAAGTATATTTTAAAATGATTAAATGTAATAAAAGGCACAAAGAAAAGTCCCAAGTGACGAGAAGCATAGAGGTCCTCCTGTCTATAAGAATCTAGAAAAGTCTGGTGAGGAGGAGTACAAAATTTCGATTAGATCTTAATAAATGTATATAATTTTAGCAAACACAGGAAGACAGCAAGAAGGGTGACAGGCCAGAGTAAAGACAGACAGGAAAGCAAAGAACATGTTCTAAAATGTCCAGGAGTCTAGTTGGAGCACAGAATGTGCAGAAGAAACTTGAAGAAAAAACGAGAATCAGATTGTGAAGGGATTTTAATTTATACTTGACTTTAACGCAGTGGAGTCTGGAGGGGTCTGAGCTGGTTAATGTAGAAATCAGAGCTGCTTGTACTTAATCTGATAGGTTTGCACGTGATGTCTGGGATGGGAAGACAGGCTAATGATAAGCAGGTAGGAAGCTGGTATAGCAGCATGAGTGAGAAATCAAGAGGTCTTGATCCAGAAGAGCAGAAGTACAAGTAGTGAGAAAGTAACAGAAAGGGGGAAAGGCAGATTTGATAATATTCAGAGAGAAAGAGGTCAGACTATGTTCTGAGTCAGGGCAACTATTTTAAACCATTTGTGTACAACTTAGGACAACTGATTCTGTGGGGCAGAAAATAATTACTTTATTCTCCCACCTATTTGTAAATTAATTTGCTTAACAGCCCCTTGTTAGAAGTTTTATACCTCCTGAGCACTTGAGAAATAGAGAAGACCTTATAGGAACTGTATTTCTCTCCTCATTGGTGCAGTAGTTATGTTTTGAGGTATGAAATCTGCTTGTTTCACACAAAATTCCCCTCATCCCAAAGGGGAAAGTTGGCTTCACTGGAAACCAGGAAAATTGAGATCCTCATGTGTGGGAGGCTGCTCTGCCTTAGTTGGGAGCTGCTGTTCTTGGTAAAGTTTTGCCTCAGTACTCTTGTTAACAGGCAGCATCCCAGGAGGTGCTTGCTTTTTTTTTTTTTTTTGTACTGGGGATTGAACTCGGGGGAAGTCAACCACTGAACCATACCCTCAACCCTATTTTGTATTTTATTTAGAGACAGGCTCTCACTGAGTTGCTTAGTATACCTCACTGTTGCTAAGGCTGGCTTTGAGCTTGTGCTCCTCCCGTCTCAGCCTCCTGAGCCACTGGGATTACAAGCTTGCGCCACTGTGCCTGGATGAGATGCTTGCATTTTTAAGTGAATCATTTTTATTTTCACTGAGGGTTTGCTAGGTAGGATGTATGAATTCCATTTGTACTCAACATGGTACACGTGGAGTTCATACACCCAAGCATTAACACCAGAGAATCGAATGTTTAATTTCTAGATTTCCCCTTTCTTTCTCCCTCCTCACTTCCAACATTGCCTAAAACTCACAAGGTCAGTGTTGTAGGAGCAAGATAGGTGTTGCTTTCACTAGGACAACTTTGGCTCATTAGAGTAGTTCACCTCTTCACTCTTCAGGATTCCCTAGTCAGATGCTTGGGGTAAAGATGGTTCTTGCCTAGAACTTTTCAAGAGCTATTGCTGAAATGTTCAATATGCTTTTCATAAAATTCAAGTTCTTGGACCATGAGAAAATACACAAGTGATAGAAAACCATAGAGTGATAGACTCAGATGGATTGAAAATGTGATCTTCAAATATCTGATAAGAATTATTAGACACATTTACACGGCTTCTAAACAAAGTATTCCAAACTATAACAAATTTTGTTTTCATACCTTTACCTGTACAGACACTTGACTAAGAGTTTGTGTGTTCTCTTGCCATAAAAACATTCAAGCATAGGCTATCCAGCCTTTTGGGAGGGAATTCTGAGGGGAATTCAATGATCTATTAGGAAATTTGGACCACAACTTCAATGTCTCTTCCAAATCTGAGTGTCTGTGGTTCTTAGTTTCAATGGGTTGATAGAGAATCATGAAATCTATATTGTTGGGGCAAGGGGACATGGTCTATCTTACTTGCCATACCTTGAAATGTCACATTTTATCTGCACATGTTTCATCTGTTTTGAGGTCTGTATTATGCCCGTGTCTTGTCTTCTCAGATACTTCTCAGAGCCCGTGTCTGATTCATTCTAGTACAATCTAAAGTGTCTGATATAGTGATTTGATCACAAAAGAAGGCATTTTAAAATATTCATGGAGTAGGTAAAGGAATCTATAAATAAATATGCAAATATAAAATTCATTGATCTGCCCCTGCCCACTGTGTGTTTCCCTGTATGTAAGTTATGTGGATGTCAGTTAATGGCAGTATCCGCTATCCAGTTGCTCAGGCCAAGAACCTCCTTATCTTACACCTCACAGTCTATCCATCAGGAAGTTGTGAAAGCTCCATTTTCAACATATCTCACATTTCTAATGAGTTCTCACAAGCCCCAACACTATAACTAGACTAGACTAAGGGTCAGCAAACTAATTTTGTGGGTCAAATATAGCCTGCCATCTGTTTTGGTAAATAGTTTTATTGGAACATTGTCACTCATTTATTTTACATGTTAACTGCTGCTTTCAGTGCCACAATGGCTGAGTGGATGCAAAGGTGTGAAAAGAGACTCAATGACCCTTTAGAGAAGAATTTGCTTAAGATAGTCATAGGGTTTTCTATCAACATTCTTTTTCGTTTCTACAACCCTTTAAGAATATAAAAACCATTATTCAGGACTTCCCTGTTGACTTGGCTCCCTCCTGTTCCAAACCAATGGTTCTTTTGAAGCATAAATTAAGTCACATCACTTCATGTTAAAAGTCTCCAAAGGCTTCTCATTACATGTAAAGTCCAAATGTCTTACTGAAGCCTATATATTCTTTGGGGTCCAGCTGCAGTTAAGTCTATAACTTAAGTACACAAGCCTTACACCAATAGCATCTCACCATGTGCTCCATATCTGGCTCTGTCCCTATTTGGTTCCGATGATAGGATCTCAAACTTGCCTGGTATGTGCTTCTGCCTTGGGGACTTTGTGCTCTTTGTTTTTCTGCCTGGAATACCAGTGCCCAGATTTTTTCAGGTGGTTATTCTCATTCAGGTCAGAGATTTTCCCTGACCACTCCCATCTAAAGTAGATTTTCCTCGGCCTGCTCTCTCCTGCATTGTCTCCCTTTACTTTGCATCTTCAAAGCAGTTCTACGAGACTACGTTATTTATTTTATATATTTGTTAACTTGGCTGTGATCTGTCTGCTTTACCAGAATGTAAGCACCCTGAGGAGAGTATGTGGTCACTGCAGAATCAGCAGCTCCTGCAGGTGTCAGTATTGAATTGTAGGTATTTAATACATATTTGTTGAAAGGATGATTGGCTAGTTACTCCTAGTGAATATTCTCTCCTTTCTCAATTATTAGGGAATGCATTCATACTGATTCCCCACTGGACACACTGTTTCTTAGAGGTTTTGAAAATGTGCTGTCTTCATGTATGTCCAACAGCCCATGGGCCTCCTCTCCATCCTCGAAGAAAAATGCCTTTCCTAAGGATACAGACACAACTTTCAAGAAAAAAAACACTCTTTTGAACAGTTGATTTATTTCCAGAAGCCCAAGTCTGACGAGAAGGGGAACTAGGAAGCTCACTTTGAACTCGTCCATTATGGCGGAGTGGAAAGTTATCGGCACCTCCCGTCCTGAATTTTCCCGACTGTTTCAAATGCACTTAGTCAAAGCCCTCAGATAATATTTAAGTAAAGTCTAGGTTAAATGAAGAGATGAACAAAACACACCTCAGTTCCAAAGGAAAGGTAGTGTACCTTTCTGCACTCAGGAAGTGAAACAGCATCCCATGTGCACAGAGGTCAAAAATTTCAAAACGGATTCTGTCACCCCAACTCAAAGCAGGACTGCCGCAGAAGGGAATGGATACCATCAAAGACATTTTTTTTTCTTATTTGTCCTCTTTTTAACTCAACATTGTTTGAATGTGAATTATTTCAATAGATCTTTTTATTGAAGAGGTTTTTTTGTTCTCCCATAGAGTGTGTCCAACAGTGGTCTCTAAACTATGGCCCACAAAGTTTTCTAATGACCCTCATTCTTTTCTCATTTCCCCACTAGTGCATGTTCCCTTCCCCGCCCCCCACCGCTGCTTTTCTACTTCTGTCCAGTGTTTCTGGGTGAAACAGAAAGAGAACTGATAAAAAAGTTTCAAACTAAAAATGGCTTTCCAAGTGTCCCCATATGTGCTAATAGTTCTTTTTGATATCCTGGAATATTATTAAATAGGATGATTTTTACAGTACAATGCCATTATATTTGCTATCTTTTTTTTTTTTCCAAGTGCTCACTGTGGTCAGGGACAGTTGACAATTTATCTAGCCTTGCCTGTGAAAGACTGCCGAGGTGAATTATTAATACTGGAAATGATTTAATGCTTTCTTGCTGTCCCTTTCCCTCCCTTTCTCTCCCCACCCCACCACTTCCACCTTCTGTTACTTCTTCTTTGCCCCTTTCTTCTTGTTCCTATCTCTTCCTTTCTTTTTGACAACTAAATGGTGAAGCTTGAAAATCTCTTTGGGCTGCACAGTGAAATTCTGGGGTATCTGTACGGTTATATCAAACTGTTTTAAAATAAAGGACCCCCACAACTTGTGATGTTTCTCAAGTAACGTACAATTTGCTGTGTCAATTCATGCACTTTCCCTCTTTTGTTACCGAAGTGCATGCCTTAAAACATCAGTGGCTGGCTTGAAAAGAACAAAGACCTTAATGAAACAGAGGTGGCAGTACTTCAGAAGTGTTCCAACAGACTCCTGGCAAGCCTTTTGGAAAATTACATCAGTACTGACAGTGGTAAGTCAATCAATCTTCCTTGATTTTTTTCAGCCTCAGAATGAAACCCATGGGTTTTTTAGCTCTTACAAAAATTCTTGCTTCTTTCCTGTGATATCTGTTTCTATTCCCTGTGGTCTGAATCATCATCTCTTATTGGCCTTTCTATCCTCAGGCTGCTGGTTCTTCAGAGAAATGGTGTTGGTGCACTGAGAGGTATTTCAAGAAGTCCATTTTTATCCTGCTTTTATTTCCTATTTGACTTATCTGCAAAGAGAGAATTTAAAAAAAACATTTTGATAAATGGTTGGGGAGCAATAGCCAGCCCCAAATGTATACAATCGTGCATTGCTTAAAGATGGAGATGTTTTGAGAAATAACTCCTTAGGGATATTATCCTTCTGCAAACATCATGGAGTGTATTTACACCTAGATGGTCTAAATCCATCACTTGACAGGCCCCTTGAGGGAACATTAGTAACTTGATAAATTCAGTAAACAATAAAGAATATATACTATAGTAAATACATAAGTGAGCAAAATAGTCATTTGTTATCATTATCGAGTATTATGTACTATACGTAATTGCATGTGCTCTACTCTACTTTCATAAGACTGGCAACACCAACATCATGACCAATATGTAAGCAATGTGTTGCACTATTTACGGCAGTACAAGGGCAACAATGTCACTGGAAAATGATTTCTAAATAATAATAATTCATCTTAATCTTATGGAATCACTGTTATATAATGTCAGAGACTATGTGAGGCAGGACTGTATATATATTTGTGTGTGTGTGTGTGGAAAGTAAGGAGGGAGGGAGGGAGAGAGGACTTTATCTTGCAGGTATAAGGACAGAAATATTAAGAGTAACAGCTCAAAAAACCAAAGGCCAAATGTTTTCTCTGATATGCAGATGCTAATTCCCAATGAGGAGGTCAAGGGAAAAATAGAATTACTTTAGATTAGGTAGTAGGGAGTGAAAGGAGGGGAGGGGGAATGGGGATAGTCAGGAGAGTAGAATGAATAAGACATTATTACCCTATGTACATATATAACTATATGACCAGTGCGATTCTACATCATGTACAACAAGAAGAATAAGAAAATATATTCCCTTATATATGATGTATCAAAGTGCATTCTACTGTCATTTGTAACTAGTTAAAACAAATTTAAAATTTTTAAAAAATAAATAAATGAAGGTGCACTAGGCAAGTAGCTCAAAGGTCTAAGTGGTTATGTGATCCTGCCAGCACAGATTATATGACGTGTGAGCAAGGAGCAACCTAACCATTTGAACTTGTTTATTCAAGTTCAGTATTGAGGGACGGAGAGAGTGGGGGAGGGAGGGAGGGAGGGAGAGAGAGAAAGAGAGGAATTCTGAACCTTAAAAAAAAAGTAGCCTCTCCAATTTTTTGAATCTACTAAATGGCAAAGTCTAGGTAGTAACTAAGACTGTTTCCTAATCCCATGTCTATTCTACTCTCACTGACTCCCATTCATTTATGATTCAGTGAACACTTCTGCATTATTATACAATGGGTTTAAAGACACTGAGCCCAAGTGGCTGACACCAGACTCACAGCTGGACTAACAGTAACCACAGAGAGAAGCTCTGCATGATTTACAGCAAAGGTCACAGTTTGGCAGTTTCTGAGTAGAATCTGGTCTTCAGATATGTTTTGTTGGTCCACACAGGTTAAAAAAAAAAAGTCAAAGGATTTCCCACCTGTGGATTCCCTTTTTCTTATGAAAAATGAAAATTCTGGGAAAATACAAAATCTGACCAGCCTGGTTTCAGATTCCCTCATGGCAGCAGTGGGGCAAAGTGCACCAGCTGTTCTTTAAATGGGTCTCATACTCTCACTTCCTAATGTCCTCACCTTCCTATCATCTTACACCCAGCTTCTCCTGAACTCCTGACCCCTACTGATATCGCTGGTCATCAGTGAGGGGTACTGCTCTCTCACATGTTGAAGTATAACATTATATGGTTGCGTTTGCATGCTTCTCTAAAGCAGGGTTTATATAAGAAGGGGTAACACAGACTTCTCCTGGGAGGGAGGAGGGGGCCATAGCTGGTATCATGTATCCCAAGTAGTGAGAGCATTCTGCCTTTTTTATAGGACTTAGATCCAGGAGATGCTCAGTGAGATGGCCAAAATGTGAGAAGCAGATGGGATGGAGGGGCTGAAGTGGTGTGATCTGGGTAGGAAGGGGGCCTAATCAACAACTGTTGTAACTCCCTGTAGGGAGGGACAATCCCTGGGACAGGTTACCTTAGCAATAGGTTAGAGGAAGGGCTCTGACAGAATTAACATTTCAATCCCTCCATTTTTTGGATCTGACCCTTGCCTATCTGCCTAATTCTGGCTTCACTATCAGGCTGATTTGGAACTCTTGATTGCTGGGTTAATCAGGGAATGGAGAAAGCAGTTAGCACTTTCTAGATTCATTAGCCCATGATGACACAATTCAGGAGCATGCTTGAAATCCTCTGGGCCTGCTTTAAGAGGTGGTTGAGAAATGGAAGCTCTTGGGTTTGGACTCTGCTAGTCATCAAGCTGTGCATTTGCCCGATTCTAATAGCTTCTCAGTTGCCTCTGAGGAGTCTGTAAGGTAGTGGCCACATAAGCTTATGGCTCCCAGTTGAGTAATTTTCTGTTCATGAGAGGTCAAAGAGTGGTTTAGGCAGAGAATTAGGAAACAATCTTCTAACTCTTCAGGGTGTGTGCCATGTTCTGGAACTAAAAGAATTGTCTAGAATATAAGATGTCCATTTTCTTTTTGTATTTACTTAAATACTCCCTAAAAATAATTGCCTCCAAGTTTTTATGCATTTCAACATTAAATTTCTATAATAACCATATTTTTTCTAGGAATCTTAAGTACTTTAACTAGAGTTGTAAGGTTTTTTTTTCAATTAAAAAAATAATAATAAGTGGCAGGGGGAGCATGGGAGGAATGGAGGAAATTTACCTAGGGCAAAGGGGAGGGAGGGGAAGAGAGGTATGGGGGTAGGAAAGATGGTGGAATGAGATGGGCATCATTTACCCTAAGTACACGTATGAATACACAAATGATATGACTCTACTTTGTGTTCAACCAGAGACATGAAAAATTGTACTCTATTTGTGTAATATGAATTAAAATGCATTCTGCTGTCATGTATGACAAATTAGAATAAATAATTAAAAAACTAAAAAATGCATGTAGCATATGGCACATAATGGTCACACTATTTCATTCTATTATAAACTCAGGAGCAAAATAAACTTAAAATATTCTCTAAATATAAAAAAGTACTACTAATAAAAAAAAGACAAGTTATTACCTTTTCATATATATATAAAAAAAACTGAAGTACAAAGAGGTCAAATGACACGTAGAGAATGCAGGGCCTCCCAAAAGGACATTAATAATTAAGCTTCATCAAATCTGCCTCCACACAGTTGCTTGTCAGAGAGCCTTTTTTTTTTTTTTAACTTTTGTTTGTTCTATTTTCTCCTGGTTGCCTATGGATTTTCTTGTTGCTTTTGTTGTACATCTTAGTGAGTTTGCATGACAAATATTTGTAAGATAGTTTAGCTGAGTATAGGTTCAAGAAGACAAAATGATATAACTTTTATAAATCATAAAATTAATACATGAATGTTGCCAAAAACAGAGAATAGAGTAAAACCAAAAAGAACATAAAAATTATCTATAATCCCAAATAGAGAAATAACAATTGTTAATGCAAATAAGCCTCCCAACACTTTTTATGTTTATAGTCATCTATAACACAACTGTGCTTAAAAACTGCATGCATTCAGGATCATAATGCACAAAGCATAGGTTCTGTAACCTACTTTTCTGTTCACATAAATTCTAGCATTCTTTCCACACTAATTATATGCATCTATGTCATTTTAAAAAGTTAGAGTGTGTCCCTTCAGAATTTAATCAATCTTCTGTTGATAAAATTTGTTAATATTTTGTTTGTAATGACTAAATAATGCTTCCATGAGTATCTTTACACTGTTGCCTGATTATTTCCTTAAGAAAAAGCACCAGAAAAAGATATTTTAAGAGATGTAAATGGGAATATTTGAAGCTCTTGGTGAATATTGCACTATTGTCTCTAGAATTTTGATGAATTCATGCTTCCATCAGCAGAGTATGTGACAGAAGAGCTTGTATTTGTTTTATTTGTTTGTTGGTTGGTTTGATTATTTTTAGTACTGGGGATTGAGCCCAGGGGTGCTTAACCACTAAGCCACATCCCCAGCCCTTTTTATTTTTTGAGACAGTCTTGCTAATTTCCTGAGGCTGGTCTTGAACTTCTGATCCATCTGCCTCAGCCTCTTGAGTTGCTGGGATTACAGGTGTGCACCATTGTGCCCAGCATAATAGAACTTTCTAAATGCCATTGCCTATCTCCTCCTCCTCTAAACCCTTCTTTTCTTTCTCCTTTTTTATTTTCCTTCTATACAGTTTGGGTAGGAGAGATGTCAGAAAGGAGCTTCATTCTAATATCATATCTGCATAAAGTAGTTTAATTAAATCTATTCACGTATTAACTGTCTCACAATCTGCATTTATTATTACTTATTTGAAATTTCACATCTCTAAATTAGGGTAAAGTATGTGAAGTTAACCAAGTTGAAACAGTTGAAATTTATCTTGGTATTTTTTAAGGATTTTAGAGAACAGTGTTGGTCAGCTATCTTGGTTACCTTTGTCTGTCCTGTACCCATTTTCCAGTTCATGTGAATCCTACCTTATGAAACGTCCCAGTTACAGAACTGGCTTTGACCAAGAGGGAAGCTAATCTGCCTCCTTTTCCTCCACTCCAGTCTCTGTCCCCTTCTTTGCCTCCAGAAAAGACCATCTGTCCTGCAATTGGTGCATGGTGCTCACAGGTACTGCAGGGATCAGACAGAAGCCAAGCTGACACCATTGCCTTTTTAATTCCCCTGCTTCCCTCACTACCCAATAAACCTCTCAAACCAGAATATGAATCTCAGATTCTATTTCGGTAGAACCTGACCTAAAGTGAAGGTTTTCAATAGATAGAAAACTTGATTATTTTTTGTAAGCCATTTTATTGCTCAGTCATAACTCATTGCTATTGAACTCAATACAAGTGGACATGATTCATAATAGAATTATGTCTCTCAGGTAAATACTGACTTGCCAAAGGAAAGAAATAATGTGTTTTGGTAAGCAGGGAATAATGTTGTATTCATTGTTTTACTCTTGGTGTGCATGTTGGGTCTAAGATTACATTGACAGATTTGGAGATATTTGTGAAGTGGATTGGTATTCTTAGAGACTTGAAAAGGGATTTTGTATTTATTATGGTCTCCATTTTAGGAAACGTGAAATATATTGGTGACTAATCTGAAGTCAATAGTGCTTAATTTTGTGAGATGCATAAATCCCCAGTGAACAGAATGCCAGGTCAGAGTTAGATATTTTGTAATCTATACTAGGAAACCCATTTTATTTCAGCTTTGATGAATGTATTTTTAAGAATCACTTACTGGCCCATTTTTCATAAGGACAGATTTTTAGATAGAAAAATGAAAGCAAGTTAAAAGTAAGGTCTTTGGAACCTCTTCATGGCTGACTTTGAATTGAGATTCAAGTGGACATGTTGAAAGGTTTTCACAAAGCTGGCTGTATTCAGAAATATCAGTGCTTGGTATTGCTACTTCTATTTCAACTTGAATTTTGTGTTAAAATGTAAGTGTGCTCCTATTCTAATTTCTAGGAGGGCAAATTGTAGTAAAAAAAGGGATTGAACAATCAATTGGGGGATTAGGATAGATATTTCAGAATAAAGGATATTACTTTGTCTGAATTACCTAAATTGACGTACGATAAAGACAGTTTGCAAATCCATCTTTAATTGTGAAAAGCTCCCTCTAATCTTTCTTCCCTATAGGAACACCTTCTCTGTCTGATGGTATCCATTTCTTAGTTATGTGCTTCTGACAAGTGAATCGGTGGGCTGGGCCATAGTGGCAAATTCTGAAAGTGTTTTTATTTGCAAAACAATTTTTTTATGCTATTAACACAGATTCTCTTCCTTAAATAGTGGATTTGAAGATTGCCATCCTCTATTTGGAATTCTAGTCCCCCCTGGAGCTATGGTTGGAGCTCCGAGCCTCAAATGAGCATATCTGATGAGCACCTGTGTCCTCAGGGCACTAACCACCCTTGGAATATGTGGCCAGATGTTTCTAATTCTAGTTTCTGAGGTTCTGTAGTAGCTTGCTTTTTTTTTTTTTTATTAACCTACTGTAATTAAGACCCCAGTTTTGACAGTCTGTGTCCTATTTTGGGAAAGTGTGATGCCAAACAATGATGCCGTGGTTGGAGCTTTTGCAATGCAAACACTTCATGTTCATTCAGGGCTTTATGTTTTTGCCTCATTGTTTCTTATCAGCTGGGTTTCTGAATGCATCTAAGGACACTGCTTCCATCTAGCAAGGAAACTAATTAGAGGCCTCTATTTGGAGCAATTCTGTTACCTATTAGAGTTGTCTTCCATCCAGGCAGCTTTGATTTCAATAGATTTTCAAGAAAAGCTTCATGATGTAATCAAAACAATTCATATGTACTTAAAGGGGAACAGATGTTGTTTGATCTCGAGGTATCTGAGAACTCTACATTCCTCTTGTTATAGATCATCTGTTTCTGTCCCTGACAGGGATTGGGGTACAGGTAGATAGTTTATTTCTGTGATTCTAGACATAGGCAGAGTCACAGCATATTTTGTTAGGATTACCCCTTGGATTCTCCCAGGAGAACAAGTGAAAGGTTTTTCAAAGGCTTCTATAAGAGATTTCAGCTGATTGCTGTAATAGAGCTGCTTTTGATGGAAAAAAGAGGTTGATAGGAGGATGCTTAGACTGTAGAATAAAATTTAGTCAACGTAATAGGAACAATGAAGATCAGGATGTGGCCAAGTCCTTTCTCAGTAAATTGTAAACAGAATTTTGAGTTTGTGCCTATTCCCCATTTTTTCGTCCCTCCTACCTGGAGATGGCAGTGCACTTTTGTGGTCTTGTCATTTCTACCTGTTTTCTGGTTAACAAATGGATAAGATGGATTTGGATTCTAGCAAAATAATGTCCTGTTTTTCTTCATCTTCAAGTAGTATTTGCTTAAAATCTGATCTGTGAACTCGGAGGCTTGTTCCATATTAATGAAATTTCAGATAAAACATTTAGAGACTCTTCCATAAGAGATGGGCACTGTGAGCACCATCAGGCTGGGAGTAAGTAAATGCCTATGACCTTTGCACACCAAACTCAGATTTTTTTAATCCAAGATGCAGGAATTAGGACAAAATCTGGGATAGTCATTATTAGGCACTGACCCAGTGTGACCCTGTTCTAAAGGTGCAATGAACCATTTTTTGCGTTCTTCAGCAGCTGTGCCATAATGATATCATGGAAGGGAGTAAGATGTACCATGAAGGTTTTCCAAACTGACTGCTATATGGTGATTTTAAACAAAGGGAAACATGTTTTCTAGGATCCCAGAAATGTGAGGCTGTCCATTCTGTTTCCCTCTCTGAGTGTTTAGGCACACAGTATTTGCTTGGTGGATGTCCTCCAGACTACAAATCGGTGGGTTTTGGTGTCGGTGAGATATATGATGACAGAGTTCCATTTTTATTTCCCTTTAAATTCAACATCTATGAAGCTGTAATATCCTTAAATCTCTATTAACAGATAATAGGCCCACATTGAGAAGAAATATGTATAGAAGAAAAACCAGGAACTTAAAATGAATCTCTGAAATGTTGTGCGTAATCAATAGTAGCTGGTATCTGAGCAGGAGGATGCTCTCCTAGCAAGCCTGTGAATGGAAGGAAGCCAGCATGTTGCATGGTAGGAGGTGAATCTTTGCCTTCCATTTCCCAAATTCTAAAAGTGGAAGTAATGATCATAATCATGAAGCCAATTTTAGCAAAGTGTAGTAGAGAGAAGTGTACCAGTCTCAGAATCAAGCATATATCACATTCTCCCCCATCTCACCAATAGAGTAAAAGAATCTTGGAAAAGATACTTAATATCTCTGCATTCCGTTCTGTATCTACCTACCTGATAGAGATACTTATTCTTGCTTCCATTTTTATTTCTTCTTCCAATACGTCTCCAAATTGAGCAGACAAACAAATGAGATTCATCACTAAAGCACTGTAAAAAGTGTTGAATGTTTTCTTTCATGTGCAGAAGTTAGAGCAAACAGGGGGAAAGGAGCTAATGATATATAAAAAAGATAGAGGGAAGGTGCAGAAGAAGGAGAAAAAAGGGGATGGATAGGAAAGAGAAGGAAATGAATTTTACAAAATTGCACTATGTGCATGTGTATCTATAAAGTGCCAACTGAAAATAAATAAGTTGAAGGTGCACCAGTAGAGAAGAGGAAGATAAATAGTGGGAGGGAGAAGGGGAAGGAAAGGAGGGGAATAGGGAACTGATATATGGTAACTGAAATTCCATGTGTGTATGATTATATCAAAATGAACCCAACTATTATGTACAAATAATACATCTGATGGTGATCACAGTGCCTTTTAGTTAAAAGAAAAAGGACAAAAATACAAAACTATTATACCAATGGAAGAGACTACTTCTTTTTTCTTCATTATTATTTCCAAAAATTTGGTGAAAATTGCAATATTAGTAGTAGAAATAGATAAACCTGTATTTCCTTTCTCCCCACTTGTCCAGATTAATCTTCACTTGAATCACATAATCCCTCCGACCCCATTTTAAATTAAGCAGTGCATTCTGAAACTCAATGACCTTTCCAAAGAGCAAGTCTGAGAGCAGCAGAAAAGCAACTGAAGAACTTTTTGGCTCCTTGGAGATAGGCACACCCAGTACCAACCTGGAGTCACTAAGGTAACCAGGAAATTGCAAAGAAAGCATTTGGAGAAGAGTAGGAGGAAAGGGTGTGTCTCCTAAAAATATCCATGAACACTAAATTATAATATGAGGTATTCTTTAGCTCTTATGACCAAAAATAACACAAATAGAGCTCAGTTCAAAGTGGAGGTTTCAGTGCTGTTGAAATTCAATGCTACTTAAATCTCAGCCTTGACTACATTTTCATTTTTATAATTAATCATAGAAGCAAATTTGTGCTGATATAAAATACTGAATCAATCTTAACAGTGCTAGAAAGCTGTACACAAATCAAAGCTTCCTGGAGTTAACTGCTTGTCTGTGTGAACTGATTTGTCTACTGTGTGCTCTTTTAAGGAATACATTTTTTAAGCTATCTGAATAATTTTTACAATAATTTAACAACTTTAATACCAACCAACCATTCAGTAAATGAATAAATAACCCAAACTGTCTGACTTAAATGTGATTCTCTAAATTCTACTACATCTAAGAGATCCAGGTATTTTGGGAATCCACTGATTGGTCTTATCTGGTAGTCAACATCAGGTTGCTCCTAATGGCATCCATATAAGGACCAAATTATTTGGAGGAGATTAGGAGGATCCAGTGTAGAACCCAGAGAAAAAGAACTCTGTAGGATATGTTTATGAAATGTTACTTGACTCTTAGGTTTTGAGTACTTGGAAATCAGTCTATTATTTCCACTGATTTCTGTTAATGGTACCTCATTTCCTGGTGTGTCCAGTTATTTTTGCACTCATCTGGGTCAAAATTCACATGAGGCAATTGAGGATTCTAAGGCACATATTTAAAGGGGCACTGACTCTTACACAATTGTGTATATTTTAAGGGGGCACTCACAGGTTTGTGTAAGGTATCTTTAAGGAAGTACTCAAGTGAGTGCTTCCCCAAAATTTGTGCTTCTGGCAACTTGCTTTACCTGGGTTGCTATTAATTACTCTTGAAAAAATATCATATTGAATCATTGACACATGGGACAAATGTGCCTTCTTCCAGAAGAGGGGTCAATAGGGCCCCAGGCCCATATCATGGCCTATTTTTAAAATATGGTCCACTAGCTAAAAGTGTGTTTACATTTTTAAAGAAGTTATTTGAAAACAAATAAGAATATCCTACAGAGATTGTATGGAAAAAGCTTATGGACCCCTCCAGGCACTTTAAAGCACATTATGCCTGCACCCATCTGGGACCTTAAACCGGGTGCTCTAACTATTATTAATAAGAGGAAGGATGGTATTAATTATTAAGCAAACACAAAACCACAGATTAAATATTCTTCGCAAAGACTTAGAAACCAAAACTTTCTAGGGTGTATATTTTATACATTAAATACGATCCAAGAAGACACAGGACTGATAAGGTTATCCTGAAGAATACTTTGATTGTTTATAGTCATTCAACACATATTTGCTGAACATCTCTGATGAATGAAACTAATATCTGATTTTTAAAATTTTTTTTAATCTGGCTCTCTGGCAAGAAACTAATCATGAAAGACTATCTAGTCTTCCATTGTCCCAAGTCAAACATACTAAAAAATGATGTGATTCATATTCCAGAAGATTCTAGAAGACAGGTATTATATTTCTTATATCTCTACTCTGAATCCCTACTGCTGCATAATTTGTGCCTTGATCTAATTAGTGCCTCGATCAATGTGACTATCACAGGGTTGTGGTAAAGAGATGCTTCCTCTGATTAGGCTGAGTCTAAAACGTTTTTAAATCATAGCATACCAAAAAGACAGTGTGATGGACTTTATCGCCTTATCTAACCAAGTATGAGCGTAATTCAGATATTACCTCCGTTGCTTCTAGCTTTCCCATTGGGAGGGATTGTTTATGGTCTAGAAGTGTAGACCTCTGCAGGTGGTGTGTCTGCACAGGCCTGCACACCTACCCCACCGCCAACTCTTCAGGGAAAGTGGCTTCAGAGTGGGGAGGTGTTATGACCACTTTATTGCTTCCCCTGGGTCAGAAAATATGGCTTTTGGTGACATGTAATCACAAGTTTTTGTCTCAGGCAGGTTCAGTAGAGGCATTTATCACTACCTTTGGACACTTCCATGTAGGTTTTATCTATTCTCTAATAGAATTATGGAAAGCAAGCTAAAAAAAATCTCCAGAGACTGTCAGCAAGGTATTCTGCAGTGGTTGTAGTCACCTTTTCCTTAACATAATTTATATTCTGGAGAGACGTCTACAGGTTCTTAGTAAAACTTGTTCAATTGACAATTTGTTAATCTCAGTTTGCCTAAAGAAATAAATATTATTGCATGGATGTCAAAGATATTAATGAGGCAACAATTGAAGGGTTTTCTGTGACTTTCAGATAGTGTTCAATGTGGTATGGGAGTTTGGGGATCCTGTGAATATAGCTTCTAGGATTGGTTGCATAAACTGGGGTATAACTCTTAAATTCTCTGTGGTTCACTTCCTTATTTCTAAGTGAGGCCATTATGACCTGTTCATTATAAGTCATGGAATCTCTATTTTGTTACCCCCTCTAATTGCTGACAAAAAATAATTATTATTATTTAATATCTGATATTTGATCTAATATCTAATATCTGATTTTTTTTTTGCCTGCTCTGACTTGGAACAATGGAAGACTAGATAGTCTTTCATGATTAATTTCTTGCTAGTGGTCCAGAGAGCCAGCTTTATTTTTTTAAAAAAAATCTTATCAGACACAGTTAAAAGAGCCATGTATTTCTTCTTTGTCTAAGTCCTATCCCTCCCTCCTCAGGCCTTGAATTTCTTTTTTTTTCGTTCCATGTTTCATGTATAAACCATATAAAATATATTCTCTACCTTTATTAGAAATGTAGATACCCTTAAAAGTGGCACAATCTAACATGATTTACTCTTCACATAACAATATTCTGTTTAGTTGATCCAGAAGTTTATCTTTTATACTCAGTACTAATATTATAAATATGTGTTGGTAAATATATGACAAGATTACTGGTTTTAATTGATGTATAGTATTCCATTGCATGAATATACCACAATTTGTCCAACCAAAGTAAATTTCCAATTTTTTTGCTATTTTAAAGAGTTCTCCAATAACATTTTTCTTCCAATAACATAATTGCTTCCCCTGGCACATTTGCTAGAGTTTCTTGAGAGTGGCATTACTCAAATGATCCATTCTATGATAACAGTTTATGGACAGCAGCTGAAATTAGGCACACACTTAGAGTGACAATTCTTGTGGCAATTCTTAGTAAGTGTTAGGTTACATGGAATTTCATTTACAAAATGCTTTCCAATTTCTCTACAGCAACAGTGTAGGAGAGTCCCCTGGCCTCATACTCATACCAACTTATGGTATTTCAAGATTTAAAAACATTGACTAACACTTGTTGTATTTCTGATATTGGGAAAGCATCACTTAAAGAATGATACTTTCCATTGTTTCTGGTAAAAGTGGTTTATTGTATGGAGGGCATTCCTTCCATTTTTTTTGAACAAAATTTTTTTATCAGGAAAATGATGAAATCCTGTATCTGCTTCCATTGAAACAGTAAGACAATTTTTCTAAATTAATCTGTAAGTATATTGCATTATATTAAAATACTTTTTAAAATATTGAACCCAGTTTGCTTCACATTGATGGGTTAGATTGCAAAATTTCATGGTAACATTCATGAATAAGATTGACCTGTAATTTTCTTTTCCTCTGCTCTATCATCTGATCAAGGTTATCCTCAGAAAAGAATTAAAGAACCAGGTGTGGTGGCATATGTCCATAGTCCCAGTGACCTGGGAAGCTGAGGCAAAGCAATGGAAAGTTTCAGGCCAGTTCTAACCAATTTAGGTGAGACCCCCATCTCAAAATAAAAACCAGGTAGCTCAGTGGTAGACTACCTCTGGGTTCAATCCCTAATACTGAAAAATAAGAACAAAACATTAAGAATTGTTGAATGTTCTCTTTTCATGACATCTGATCCTTGAATATTGGTGGAATTTGCTTATAAAACTAGCTGGATCTGGTAATCCTTTTGTTTTTTATTATTTTGTGTTAGTTTATTATGGGACTTTGATCCTTCTTGAGTAATTTTAGATATTTTTTTTTTAAAAAAAGGAATTTTAAATTTTTGTACTTTTTTAAATTTTACAGATAAGGATTTTAATTAAGTAAGTTGTGGTGCTGAGAATTGAATCCAGGGTCTTGTGCTAGAAAATCACTCTATCACTAAGCTATATCCCTAGCTTCTTTTTAAAATTTTTATTTTGAGGGAGGGTGTTGCTCAGTTGCCCAGGCTAACCTTGAACTTGTGATCCTCTTGCCTCAGCCTTCCAAGAACCGAGGATTACAAGTGTATATCACCATGCCCAACTAGTGTGATTTTTAAATCTTGACTGTGTTTATGATTATGTTGCTGGAACATAACCCCAATTATTCCTCGAGTCTCATTCTACACTTGTATCTTCTTTCCTGTTCTTATCATAGGATCATTCATTTACTTGGTCTATTTAATAAAACCCCCTTTTCCAACTTTTACTCTTTGTTTTCTGGTTCATTAATTTCTTATGGTCTTCTTTATTCCTTTCTTCCTTCTGCGTGCTTTGGGAGTATTCTTTTTAATTTTCCCAGAGTTGTTGAGGTTTTATTAACATAAAAACTACACATATTTATGTTAGATAATCTGGTGCTTTGACAATGTATATGCAGTGGTTACCACAATTAAGCTAAATAACTTTTCATCACCTTGCATAGTTATATTTTGTATGTGTTTATGGTGAGTATTAGATTTACTGTATAAGCAAGTTTCTAGAATATAATACAAGGTTGGCAACTATTGTCACCACACTGTGTATTTGATTTCCAGAATTTATTCATCCTGCTTAACTGGAACTGAATTCCCTTTGATCAACATCTCCCCAATTTCCCCCACTCCATGTCTCATAGCAATTACCATTTTACCTATGATTCTGTTAGTTTGACTCTTTGATATCTCATAACGAAGTGAAATCATACAATGTTTTTTCTTTCTGTCCCTAGATTATTTTCATGTAGTGTAATGTCCTCTGGATTCACCTTTTTTCAAATGAATGAATTTCCTTATTTTTCAAGGCAGAATAATATTCTATTGCATATATACTACAGTTTCTAAATTCATTCATCTACTGGTGTGCAATTAGGTTGATTCCATTTCTTGGCTGAAAAACTTCAGTGGACATGGGAAAGGTATCTCTTTGAAATCATTATTTCATTTCCTTTGGCAAAATACATAGACATTGGGATAAACTGGATCATGCAGTTCTATTTTTAATTTTTTGAAAACCTTCATACTGTTTTTCATAATGGTAATACTAGTTATCTTCCTACCAATGATGTTTAAGGGTTATCTTTTCCACACATATTATTCAACACCTAGCTTTTGTCTTTTTGGTAATAGCCATCCTAATAGGTGTGAGTTGATATTTCATTGTTGTTTTAATTTGCCTTTCCCTGATGATTAATGATGTAGAATATTTTTTATACACCTGTTGGTCATTTGTGAGTCATCTCTGAGAAATATCTATCAGAGTTTTTGCTCATTTTTAATGAGGTTATTTATTTTCATACTATGAGTTGTTTGAGTTCTTTATATATTTTGGATATTAATCTCTTATCAGATACATAGTCTGTAAATATATTCTCCCATTTCATAGGTTGTCTCTTTGTTGATTGTTCTCTTTGCTGTTCTTGAGCTTTTTAGTTCAATGCAATCCTATTTGTCTACTTGTGTTGCTTGTGTTTGGAGATCATTGCCAGACCAATGTCAAGGAGTTTGTCTATAAGTTTTCTTCTAATAGTTTTACAGTTTGAAGTCTTTAAATCATTTTTAAAATAATATGAAAAAAGGGTCTATTTATATCTCATCATGGGGATAGCTAACTACCACACCACTTACTAAAGATAGTTTCCTTTCCATATTGTGTGTCTTGTCATTTTTGTTGAATATCAGTTAACCATAAATGTTTAGATTTATTTCTGGGCTCTCTATTCTGTTACTTTTGTCCAAATGTCTATTTTAGTGGCCATACCATGTTTTAATTACTAGAGCTTTGTAGTATATTTTGAATTCAGGTAATATGATTCCTCCAGCTTTGTGTGTTTCGCTCAAGAATTATTTGGCTATTCAGGACCTTTCGTTGTCCAATATGAATTTTAGGGCCACCTTTTTCTGTTTCTGAAAAATAAATACTATTTCTTTTGTTGGTATATTTTTGATGACTGATGTAATATCCTTACACTAATATTGGTGTGTTTAGATTTTCTATTTCTTTTTCATTCCATTCTGATAGACTACATGATTCTAGGAATTTATCCATTTCTTCTAGGATACCTAGTTTGGGGCTCATAAGTGTTTATAGAAAACTCTTGACCCTCCTTTGTTTTTTGGAGAAACTGGTTGTGATTTTCCTCTTTCATTTATACTTTTACTTACTTGAGTCTTCTGTTTCTTCATCTAGCTAAATATTTGTTGATTTTACAGTTGTCATTTGTGCAGAATATTTTTTTTTCCCAACCCTTCACTTTCGGTCTGTGTGTCCTTAGAGGTGAAGTGAGTTTCTTGTAAATAGTTCTGTCATTTTTAAAAATTAATTCATTCTGTGTCCTAATTGAAGATTTAATCCTTTTATATTTAAAATAAGTATTGGTAGGTGAGGACTTACTGCTGCAGGTTTATTTGTTGTTGTCTGACTTTCTGTTACTCCTTTGTTTCTTTTTTCCTCTCTTGCAGTTTCCCTTTCTTTCATACATCTGCTACAAGTTTTCTCTTCATACTTACCATGATTAGGACAGTTTAGCAACTCTTACTGTTTATAAAAACTCACCACTGCAATGTCTGCTCATTGAAGACCGTAATCTTTCAAGAAGCCAGAAAGCTCTGGGTCCAATTTAAGTTTGTGTGTATACCATGATCTAATTGCAAATGAGCAGCCAGGATTTTTGCTGTTTCTGAGAAAGGCTTGACTCAAATCTTCAGGACTTTTGCAATGTGCTTCCAGTTATTCCTAATTCTTGTCTTCCTAAATCTGAATCACCATTAAAAATGAGTCCTCTTAAACCATCAGTTGTCACCTTTATCATTGCATCAAATTCACTCATGAAGTTTGAAAAAATAAAAAGATGCTTAATCCTAGTCTAAGATATTTTAATTAAGCAGATCCTTTGTGGTTTCAAGGATCTGTATGGGCAATTCTGTTATCTGGTCAGGGTTAAGACTCATTGTCTTTAAAAAAAAAAAAAATATCATACTGCTTTCCATGGGACACCTTCAGGTCCTGCCGTATATATATTTTAGATTCCAAACTCTTGGTCTTAGCATTGAGCCCCTCTCTCCACTTGATGCCTGTGCCGTATTACTCCCCTTCACATTTCTTCTCCCTATCCACCTGGAATACTGTGATCTCTAAACTCCAAAACAGTAAGGATAAAATTTTATTCACCTTTATTACATATTCTGCCCACTCAACACACTGATAAGTTTTTTAAAAAATTCTCAAATACCATCGTTTGAACACTTTTTCCTGTGTTTTAAACTTGCTGGAAACAGAGAAAACTAAAACCAGAAAATGTACTTTTAGAGTGATTCAAACTATCCTTTTATTTGGAGATATGCTATTTTACTGTACTTCAGCACTCCACATTTCCATAAAACTATACACCCAAACCAACATTTTTGATAAATATTTAGCAAAACAGCAATTCTAGAACTCCAGCGTCACTTGAGATGCTTATTAAAAATTCAAATTAGGGTATTAGTATAACATTCATATTTTATTGCGATTTCTATTTTTATACAAAATAAATATTCACCTTTGTTAAAACTAAAGTCCTGAATTCCATTGAAAACCTACTTAAAATTCATAATATAACAATCACAATTTATAACACATTTTGGCTTATTGGAGAGGTAGCTTTGGATGAAACCCAGACTTCTGGGTCCCTTCATTCCTCCTATTGATGGAGAATAGCCTGTGCTATCCAATGTGATGTGAAAGGAAGAAATGGATCCAATGTGTATAGAAGCATGGTGTACAAAGGCTTGGAATACTTGTTAAAGATCATTTTGGGGGCCACAGAAGTACATGGAAGCAAGTTTCTAGAGCAAATGTACAAAGACTAGGGTGAGTTTAAATTGTAACTGAGTAAAAAGTTAACAAAACTATGAAATATTTTAAAATTTAGTTTGAGGGGCATGTCTAACCCTCAGATCAATAAGTCAAAGATCCTTTTAAAATTCTTTATTTACTCAAAATGTCAGCAGAACTGGGTGAATACATTCCAATTAACATTAAAATTATGTGAGAATAACTTCCATTGGGGAAAAGATGGGACATGCCATTGCTCAGCTGAACCCCCAAACTCCACCGTTGTTTAACAAAGGGATCAGTGGTGTTTATTAGACTGTCCTCTCTTTTTTTTTGGTGATGGTGACAGCTCCTGTAATGTATTGAAATGCAGTAAAGTGCCATTTGCATGTCAATCCCCAGTGAACTGAAATCAAATGTCCCTGTTATTTCCCAAATATTAGAAGCCTCTTTGATTTGCATGGACTCTTCTTTGTAACTTGATATTTCTTTTTCATTTGGTCCCTCTCTTATGTGTCTTCAGTGAAGTTGGAGATTTACCATTTTATTCCTCTCTGTGCCCTGTGATCCTGTTTCTTGGACAGGTGGACACTCTCCTTCCAGGAGTTGTGCAGAGGCAGATAGTCCAGATTTTTACATTTTTCAGCTCTTGATCTAATTGGTGGAAACACCTTATGCAAGCAAAGGGAGAGTTAAGAAATTGTCCCACTGGCATGTTGTGGGAGGATAGATGAGAGAGAGGTGAAAGATGAAGATGCTTGTGAAGTCACTTTGCAATGAGAACTTATTCATAACACACCTGTAAGAACTTGTAAGCAAGAGGTTTTATTTAGCCTCTAAAGAAGACAAATTAGAGGAGATCAAAGTTATGAAAGATACGCTATAGCAAAAACACTCTACGGGTTTTTTGGGTTTGTTTGTTTTTTTGATCCATAACATAGAAACAATAAGTCACCCTGAGATTTGGAGGAAGTGCATGTGAAACAAACTACGCTCTAAGTGTAGAACTCATAGAATTAATGCTCACAGAATCTCTGAGGCAAAAATGTAGTTAGAAACAATAGTAATATCTAGTTAGTGACTTGTAAATAACTATGTATTCTAAATTCAGCCTGTGTACATAACATACTCAGCTCTGCTCAGTTTGTTAGAAATCCATATACATTAAACAGGTGCATCTGGGCCCTTATAATAATATTATAAATAGTTTATTGGCTGAGGAAACACAGCTTTATTAAAAGAGCAGGTATCAACTTCAAGCTAAGTGCCCACATTGTTGCTTCCAGAAGCTGTGATTTAAGCTGCACATCACTGATCATTGGAGGCATGTGAGCTCCTTAGGCCACGGGATTCTATTAAGTGCTTTAGAAGAGGTCATCTAATCTACTGAATGGGCCTGAAAGATGGAAATCTCCTCCAAACACAAGCAGCTGCTCCACTTCTCAACAACAGGATCAGGGACCTGGGAATATTATTTCAGCTGCCTAGGAAAGGTAGGTGAGGGTGCTGGGCAGAGGGCAGGCAATTATCTCTTTGCTATGTGTTAAGCAGCATTTTCGCCTAACTGATAAATTACTTGCAGCTGTTGGCAACAATTTTCTCCTCCTTGTGGGAGAAGGAGAGACCCTGGCAAATGTTGAAGAGCAGAGTCACTGATTAAATCCCAGATCCAGCTGGAGGCCAGAGTCGAGGAGCTGTCTGAGTGGGTGGAGGAAGAAGAGGAGATAAATTCTGCACTGACTGCCAGGGGGCGGAAACTCCAAGATGAATGTTCTGAGTTGAAGAAAGAAATCGATGACCTGGAAACAATATTAGCGAAGTCAGAGAAGGAGAAGCATGCTTCAGAGAATCAGGTGCGTTTTCTGTGGTATTAGGAAGGCGGAGATGCCTGGATTCCACTCCCAGACCAGGCTTCAGTACCCACAGTGTGCTGTTTACTTAATATAATGGCCTGCAACTTCATAGCATTGAGAGTCTGAACTGGCATTAAAATAAAGGGTCTGATAAACTGTGATTTCCCAATTTGAATTTAGGGAGCCTCACTTAATCCACCAAATGAAATATTATCATTTGCTTTAGTCTAATGTCATCTGAAATCTAATGGAAAGAACCAAATGGTTTCATGGGGTCCCTAAATCTATTTTTTGGAAGGAGAAAGAGCATGATGACATTTGCAAAAAGGTAATTTGTGATGTGTTTGAAAACCAATTTCTGCCAATGATTTGGATTTGTACCTTGCAGCCATCACTTTAATTCCAGTTCAGGGAGAATTCTGGCATTTTCTTTACTTGTGAGTTTTGATTTCTGTATCTATTTGTGGATTGAGATAGTGAGGAGTCTTTATAAAACCTTTGACAAACAGCTACTCTTCAAAATAACTCTGTAATTTTGGCAAATAATTAAATATCAGTTCTTGTGTTTATTGATTCCTTTCAATAAAAAGCACCAGGGCTTGATAAAGCTAGCTTCCACTTTTGCATGTGTAACCTGCTGGAACCCTTCTCTATCTGTCCCTCCCTTGAGACTCTGGGGCAAAACACAATTAGTGCCTGTCCCCTGAATCCTTAAAGGAAAGCACAATTACCTTTACTGGAGTTATTATCATCCAATAATACAAGGCTCTGACAATGATCTGTCCATTAAGTCATATTGGTAACTGAGCAGAATACATTTTTCCATGCCAGATTACATACACATATATACATACATATATTTTTATTTTTTCTTTGTGGAAGAAAACATAGTTTTATGGACTATATCAGGAATTTGGTTAACTCTTGATGACATTGGATACCTCATGAGGGTTTTGGACCACAAAAGGGAAGACCCTTGGTGTCATGCTCACACTTCCAGTGGTGGCTCTAATGAAGATCTCTGTCTTCTCACAGGTCAAGAGCTTGACTGAGGAGGTAGAATCTCCGATAAGGAAATCAGCAAACTTAACTGAGCAACCAAGTCCATTCGGAAAGCTCCTTAGCAGACCCAGGAGTGTCTGCACACAGAGGAGAAACAGAGCAACTTGAGCAAATCAATCTTGAACCTGGGGCAGCACGTTGATGAGGTAAGTAGCAATGGATGGAGCTAGTTAGCAATCTGTATGTTCACACTTACCTCCAATTAAAAAAAAAATCATGGAGACATAATATTTGTACATCCTTATGAAGTACATTGTGGTAATTCAGTTTGCGTATACAATGTGTGATATTCAAATCAGGGTAATGACATTTGTATCTCTTCAAACATGAGTCATTTTTATGTTTGGAATTTTGTGCTCTTAGTGATTTTAAAATATAGATTTTTTAATGAAAAAGTTCTATAGAAAAGTCAGAAGTAATTCCTCCACTCTGTTTTGTTACCCCTTATTGAACTTATTTCTGTATCCTCTCTCCACTTTCCACAAATGAGTAATAACAAGGCATATTTGTTTTTCTGTGTTTGGCTTATTTTACTTAATCTAATGACCTCAATTCCAAATATGTTGCTGCAGATGACAAGATTTCATCCTTTCTACGGGTGAATAATATTCCTTTGCGCATTATATATATATATATACATACATACATACATACACACACACACACACACACACACACACACACACACCACATTTTCTTTATCAGCTTGTCCACTAAAGAACACATAGGTTGATTCCATATTTTAGCTATTGTTAATACTGCTGCAATAACCATGAGAGTGCAAGTGTCTTTCTGGTATAATGATTTCATCTCTTTGGATATATATCCAGTAGTGAAATTGCTTATTCATATGCTATGTCTAGTTTTTTGAGGAATCTCCATTTGCTTTCTATAATAGCTTTGCTAATTTATGCTAAGTGTATAAGAATTCACCTTTCTCCATATCCTAGGCAGCATTTGTTATTTGTCTTTTCATTGATAGTCATTCTAACTGGGGTGAGATGTTAGCTCCTTGTTATTTTGATTTCCATTTGAGATTGATCATTTTCTCATATATTTGTTGACCATTTGTATATCTTCTTTTGAGAAGTGTCTACTAAGTTCTTTAGCCAGATTTTTATCTGAATTATTTGTTGTTTGGTGTTCAGCTACTTGAGTTCCTAAAATCTAGATATTCTAGATTTCATTTCTTGTCAGATGAATAGTTTAAAAATATGCTATGCCATTCTTTAGATTATCTCTTAATTCTGTTCATTGTTTCCACTGCTGTGCAGAAGCTTTTTAGTTTGATATAATTCTAATTGTATATTTTTAATTTTGTTGCATGTGCCTTTGGGTCTTATCCAAAAATTAATTGCCTATACCAGTATCTTAAAATTCTTCCTCCTAACTTTTATTGTATTAATTTCATAATTTATGGTTTAACATTTTAGATTTTGATACACTTGGAGTTTTGTGTACAGGGAGAGGATCTACTTTCATTCTTTGCAATATATATATATATATATATATATATATATATATATATATATATATATATATATATATCCAATTTTTCCAGCATCATTTACTGAAGAGACAATATTTTCTCTACTATGTGTTCCTTGTGCCTTTATAAAAGACTTTTGGCTGTATAAACATGGATCAATATATGGCTTCTCTATTCTGTTCCACTTGCTTGTATTTCTGTTTTTATGCTAATACCATGCTATTTTGGTTACTATAGTTTTGTTGAAAGTCTTGAAGTTGGTATTATGATACCTCCAATGTTTTGTTTTTCTTGCACAGAATTGCTTTGGCTATTCTGGGTCTTTGTTTAGGATATTTTATTCTATTTCTGTAAAGAAAGTCATTTGCACTTTGAGGAAATGTGAATTTATACATTACTTGACTCTTTAGATTATTTTGCTGGTACTGTCATTTTTAACAAAATTAGTTCTGATCCGTGAACATGATATACCTTCCTTTTCTTTTCTCCTCTTTGTTTTCTTCAGTGACTTATAATTTCCATTATAGAGATCTTTTAATTCCTTGGTTAAATTTCTTCTTACTACATTATGTACAATCAGAAGAATGAGAAGTTATACCCCATATATGTATGTTGTGTCAACATGCATTCTACTGTCATGTATAACTAATTAGAACAAATAAAAAAATTATTCCTAATATATCTTCTGTAGATATTGTGTGAATGGCACTGATTTCTCAATTATTTTTTTATGAAAATCTCATTATTGGTTTATAAAAATACTACTGTTTTTGTATGTTGATTTTTGCATCCTGCACAATTTACAGATTCATTATAAGTTATTATAATAGCATTTTGATGAAGTATTTAGGTTTTACTATGTATAAAACCATGTCATTTACATACAAGGAAATGTAATTCTACCTTCCCACCATGGATGCCATTTATTTCTTTCTCTTGCCTAATTCTTCTTGCTTAGGCTGCCAACTACATTAAATAGGAGTGAGAAAAGGTGACATCATTGTCTTGTTCCCAATCTTATAGGAAGTGCTTTCAGCTTTCCCCCCATTCAATATGATATTGGCTGTGGGTTTTTCATATATAGCCTTCAGTATTTTAAGGTATGTTCCTTCTGTACACATTATGAAAGAATGTTGAAATTTATTAAATACTTCTTCAGCATCTGTTGAAATGATCATATGTGTTTTGTCCTTCATTCTGCTAATATGTTGTATCATTTTTATTGATTTGCATTGTTGAATCATCCTTGCATCCCTGGGATAAATCCAAATTAATCATAGTGTATGATCATTTTGACATACTGCTGAACTCAATTTATTTGTATTTTATGAGAATTTTTGCATATATGTTGATCAGGGTATGAATCTATAGTTTTTGTTTTATTGTATCTTTTTCTGGTTTTGGTATTGGAGTAATGATGATGGCCTTGATGAGAGTTTGTCAGAGTTCTTTATACTTCATTTTTTAAACTCATTTAAAGGAGGATTAGAATTAGTTCTTTAAATGTTTTGTAGAACTAAAAGTAAAGTCATCAGGTTCTAGACTTTTTTAGATGGGAAATTTTAGATTACTCATTATTGATCTGTTTAGATTTTCTATTTTCTTGATTTGATTTTGCTATGTATGTATTTATAAATTTTTCCATTTCTTCTAGGTTTTCCAATTTGTTAGTGTATAATTATGAGTTTATTATGATGTTTTTAATTTTTGTGATATCAGTTATACTATCTCCTTTTCATCTCTGACTTTATTTATTTGGGTCTTCTCTTTTTTTCTTGGTTAGTCTAGCTAAAGGTTTGGCAATTTTTTTAATCCTTTCATTTTTTTTAATTTCACTGATCTTTTATTACTTTTATTTAACTAATCTTTTATTATTTTATTTACTTATTCTCTTTATTGTCTTTCCTTCTAATAATTTGGGATTTGGTTTTGTCTTGATTTTCTTAGCAATTTCTTAGCAGTTTCATGTTGTTTATTTAAGATCATTTTTTAATGTATGCCTGTATTTATTACTATAAACTTTCCTGTCAATGCTGATTTTATTGTATCCTACATATTTTGATATATTGTGTAGTAAACTAACACTTGTTTCTTGGGATTTTTTGATTTCTCTTTTAATTTCTTAAATTATCCACTGGTAATTTAGGAGTATGGTATTTAATACATTTGTAGACTTCCCATTTTTCTTCTTCTTTTTGGTTTGTAGTTTCATTCTTTTGTAATCCAAGAAGGTACATGATATGATTTTGATATTTTTGTTTTATTGAGACTTGATCTGTAGTCTAACAGATGATCTGTCCTGGAGAATGTTCAATGTGCTTATGAGAGAATATTCACTGTGCTATGATTGGATGAAAACTGTAAATTTGTATTAGCTCTATTTGCTCTAAAATATGGCTCAGGACAGATATTTCTTTGTTTATTTTCATTCTGGACAGTCTGTCTATTGATAAAAGTGGGGTGTTGAAGTACGCAACTATTATTAGGATCTACCTGTCCCTTTACTTTTAGAAATATTTGCTTTTGTATTTAAGTGGTCACTAGTTGAATACATATATATTAACAATTGTTTTATCTTTTTGCTCAATTGATCCTTTTATCAATATATAATGACTTTCTTTGCCTCTCTTTATAGTTTTTGACTTAAATTACGCTTAACTGATATGTTGGTTATTTCTGCTTGCTTTTGATTTCAATTTGTGTAATATATCTTTTTCCAATCTTTCAGTTTTAGTCCATGAAGTGAATTTCTTGTAGTTGGTGTTATGGTTTGGGTCTGGAGTTCCCCAGTTTTGCTATCCTTCTGCTTCAGTCTCCTGAGTTGGTGGGATTACAGGGGTGTGCCATAAAAGTTTATGTTGACGACTTGGTCCCCAGTGCAACAATATCCAAAGCTGGAGCTTTTGTGAAGTGATTACATCATTAAGTCTCTAACTTCATTCGTGGATTAATTCACTTAGTGGATTAATAATTTGAATGGACTACTAGGAGAATTGCAAAATGTAGGTGGGTGTTTCCTGGTTGGAGAAATAGATTATTGGGGGAATGTATGCCCTTGTTCCTGGCTCCTTCCTCACTCTCTTTCTCTTTCTACATCCTTGCTATTATGAGCTGAGAAGTTCTTCACAACACTCTTATGTGATGATGTTCTGCTTCCCCTTAACCCAGAGCAACAGAGCCAGTGACTATTAACTGAAACCATGAGCCAAAATAAATTTTTCTTCCTCCAAGTTGTTTATGTCAGGTATTTTAGTCACAGAGATGAAAAGCTGAGAATATAGTTAGTTCTGGGTTTTATAATCTCTTCAGCCAGTGTTTGTGTTTTCATTAGTGAGTTTAATCCATTTACATTCAAGGTTATTATTGATAGTATAAACTTCCTCTTATTTTGTTAATGATATTCTTTTTGTCCTATATATTTATTCCTTTATACCTTTATTATTATGTATTTTGTGATTTGATAGTTTTCTACTAATGTTTTATTATCTCTTTCTCATTCATGTATTTGTTTTCTAGTATGTTTTGTGTAGTCATGTGTTTTCATGGTGGTACTTATTATCATTTCATTCCTAGTACAGGATGCCCTTAAGTATTTCTTTCCAGGGATAGTCTAGTGGTGATAAATTCCTTCAGCATCTGCTTATCTGGGTAAAACTT